GAGCACTTATGGAACAAGATGGAGTTTGGAGAAGGAACCATTCTCATTGTAAAAGGTACAGAAATAATTCTTATTTTCAGATTGTTAAAAATCTTAGATTATACATGAAGAGTGTAGAAGAATAGCTAAAGGAAATTGAATTATTGTGACAATCAAATGTACATAAAAGGTTGATGTCCGCGCCCCCGCGGAAATCTAATTAGCATCATAAAAAAATACCCATACAAATCCTTCAGTTTAAGCTAGAGATATCTGTTTATTTGCATTGGATGAGTCTCAATCCACCGCATCCGCCTATGTCGCTCTTCCGCATCTGCGGTGAAAGGTGACAGAGCTAGAGCGGTGTTTGTCAGACCATGAGACATCCCGAAAATGATGGAACGATGAGACTCTCAGGAACATGACGGTGTTCTCCGTTTTGCTCTACATCCTCCACAAAAAATAACAAATTCCTGATCTTTCTTATATCTCTCAGATATAGGACAGACACTTCAGAACAAACTTCTTTTAGACTATGTTTTGGGGGACTATATGTTGTTCCATGCAGTTAATCTGTTATTCAATGTGTTTGTGTGGACTAATAGCTGTAATGCCAAATACAATTTTCCATCAAATAATTGTATATATTTTTTTATACTTCAAGGGGTCTTAAAATTCAAAATCAAATAGCAAAATGATCCTTGGTATGACCTTCTTAAAACAATTCCATATAGCCTAATAGAACCCACCCCCCACCCACCCCCCCCAGCTTAGCTTTTTAGATTATTTAGTTCCAAAAATAATGGGTTAAATACATGTACAAAAAATAGACTGTTATGGGTTAAGTAATCTCATAATGAGATCCTTTCATGGTTAAAAAAATGTTAGGTAGGGATGTTTTGGATATTCAAAAGATTTACTGACATGATACTTCTTTTCAGGTTCAGAGTCCAACAGCAAGACAGTTGTTCAGCAGTCTGTGTCTAAATCAGTCCAGCTAGGAGACTCTGTGACTCTGAACTGTACAATACACACTGAGACCTGTGTAGGAGAACACAGTGTCTATTGGTTCAGACATGGCTCAGGAGAATCCCATCCAGGAATAATTTACACCCATGGAGACAGGGGTGATCAGTGTGAGAACAGCCCTGAGGCTGGGTCTCCTACACAGAGCTGTGTCTACAATCTCCCCAAGAGGAACCTCAACCTCTCTGATGCTGGGACTTACTACTGTGCTGTGGCCTCATGTGGGGAGATACTGTTTGGGAACGGGACCACACTGGACTTTGAGGGTTGTGACTTTACTGCCCAGATGAGAATCCTGGTCCTTCTCTCCATCATAAGAACTGGAGTTCTCCTCTGCTGTGTGACCATCTTCATCATTATCTATACCACCAGGAAATAAATAAATCTTAGACAAATGTCGATTGACTTTCGGTTTTGGAGTAAATGTTGGAAATATCATCACTATGTATTGAAAATTAGTATTTAGTCTCGTGTAGCTCAGTTGGTAGAGCATGGCGTTTGCAACACCAGGGTTGTGGGTTCGATTCCCACGGTGGACCAGTATAAAAAAATAATTAAAAATATATAAAAAAATGTATGCACTCAGTAACTGTAAGTCAATCTGGATAAGACCGTCTGCTAAATGACTAAACTGTAAAATGTATTTATTGAGATTACTGAGTTGTTTCATATAGCATTTTTGTATCTAATGACCTTCGACCTTGTTTAAAAAGTTGGATGTCAGTTGATTAAATTGCTCTTCTGAAATCCCTGAGTATGTTGCTTCTTTTAGCATCAATAAATATCAATTTAAACAACTGATACTGACTAAAATATACTTGTTCCTTCTCTTGTGTTCTGTACATACAGTATGTCTGTATGAATGTGTGCAGAGGGATTCTGCAGACCCAACCTACTGATAAATGCTAAACCCACCCATGCTTGCACCCACACAGTGAGATGTTCACAGGTACCTGTACACTGTGGTCTGCTGTGAGCACAAAACAAGGCCGTCTCTACGCTTTGGACAGGCCTGCTTGCCTTTTACATACCCTGCGTCTCTATGTGGTTTTCAGCAGGATGTCTATGTGGTGTCAGACTGTTTTCTCTCATTCTTTCATTGTTGTTCACAACCAAGACAATTAGCAACGCAGTCCACTTATATACTGTATGCCATGTAGCCTGTATCTTGTCACAAGATCATAGGTTTAATTAGTTCAAACTACAATCATTTGTTTACAGAGTTTAAAGTAGAACTTGTATCAATGTAAGCTAGGCTACAGCCAATAGGCCTACCCACTAGGTACACCCCTACTAAATACTCAACTAGTAGCCTACACTTGAGTTAGTACATGAATGACAGGGATAAGACTGACTTTCACTCTGTAGGTGTTTCCCCCACATACCCTCTCAGTAATGCTTCACCCCTGTTCACCCTACATACAGTACATGACCAAATGTATGTGGACACCTGCTCGTCGGAAATCTAATTCCAAAAACATGGGCATTAATATGAGTTGGTCCCCCCTCTGCTGCTATAACAGCCTCCACTCTTCTGGGAAGATTTTCTACTAGATGTTGGAACATTGCTGCGGGGACTTGCTTCCATTTAGCCACAAGCGCATTAGTGAGGTCGGGCATTTGATGTTGGGCGATTAGGCCTGGCTCACAGTCGGCGTTCCAGTTCATCCCAAAGATGTTTGATGTGGTTGAGGTCAGGGCTCTGTGCAGGCCAGTCAAGTTCTTCCACACTGATCTTGAAAACCATTTCTGTATGGACCTCGCTTTGTGCACTGGGGAATTGTCATGCTGAAACAGGAAAGGGCCTTACCCAAACTGTTACCACAAAGTTTGAAACACAAAATCATCTAGAATGTCATTGAATGCTATAGTATTAAGATTTTCCTTCACTGGAACTAAGGGGTCTAGCCCGAACCATAAAAAACAGCCCCAGACCATTATTCCTCCTCCACCAACGTTTACAGTTGGCACTATGCATTTGGGCAGGTAGCATTCTCCTGGCATCCGCCAAACCCAGATCCGTCCGTCGGACTGCCAGATGGTGAAGCGTGATTCATCACTCCAGAGAAAACGTTTCCCACTGCTCTAGAGTCCAATGGCGGCGAGCTTTACACCACTCCAGCCAACGCTTGGCATTGCGCATGGTGAACTTAGGCTTGTGTGTGGCTGCTCGGCCTTGGAAACCCATTTTATGAAGCTCCCGACGAACAGTTATTGTGCTGACGTTGCTTCCAGAGGGAGTTTGGAACTCGGTAGTGAGTGTTGCAACCGAGGACAAACTATTTGTACGCGCTTCAGCACTCGGCAGGTCCTGTTCTGTGAGCTTGTGTGGCCTACCACTTTGCGACTGAGCCGTTGTTGCTCCTAGACATTTTCACTTCACAATAATAGCACTTACAGTTGAATGGGGCAGCTCTAGCAGGGCAGAAATTTGACGAACTGATTTGTTGGAAAGGTGGCATCCTATGTCGGTGCCACGTTAAAAGTCACTGAGCTCTTCAGTAAGACCATTCTACTGCCAATGTTTGTCTATGGAGATTGCCTGGCTGTGTGCTCAATTGTATACACCTGTCAGCAACGGGTGTGGCTGAAATAGTCGACTCAACTATTTTGAAGGGGTGTCCACATACTTTTGTATATATAGTGTATGTATCTGTGCACAATGAAGGACTGCAGTTCATCTGTCTTTCAATAGGGAGAAGCAGTGTACTATTATGGAAGTCCCCATGACTGCCTCAACAGTAGAGTTGGCAGCAACTTGTAGAAGTGGTCAAAATGTTCACTAATTTGATGAACAATCATTGAACTCACTTTCCTGTGGAATCTCATGTGTCTAGTAGAAATAGTGGTCCAACAATTTTTTTTGTGCATTTTAGCTAACCCTTTCCTAACCTTAACTTAATTTTCATAACCTGCCATGTTAATACTCCTAACCTGCCATTTTAATTATCATAACCGGCTGCGTAAGTTCTCTTAACCTGCTACAAAAAGTCTGCAGACCGGTCCATAGAATAGCCTTGGTTTCCACTAATGCGATACTGCCTCACACTGGCTTGCCTGCTCTTTCGTTTCACTAATGATGCGAGTGTGTTCATTCTTCTGTGTTTTGCATATAGAATATCCTAGCCTATTCATTGATGATAGGCCCTGCTTTACTGAAGTTGCTAGACATTGCAAGCCAAAAAATTGTGATTTACAGCATTCCATTGCGAAATACAGCTTTTGATTTTGCTATAGATAGGCCTAGTGCACGGTTCTGACTCTGTCTGCATGACTGTCTGTCCGCCTTCCCTCTCTCCGTGCCTCGCTAGCTCGCTTTGAAAGATGCAAGTGTTTGTGTTCTCAAGCCTCGTTCTTATTACCCATAAGAACTCCGTTATGTTGCACCGTTTGTCATGCATTTAAATGGGGACGTCCACAACGGAGTGGAATCGCAACGCCCCATGCAGTTGAAGGCTCCGTTGCGAGATGGACATGGCATACTTAGAAGTTTTCCAAACTTTGCGTCGTCTTCAGTCCAGCCAGAGTCCATTGAAGAACAGAAAGTTACCAAACCACAGAAGAAGATGAAAGTATATGGTTTTCGGTGATGACTTTATGGGAAAGCTAGCAACTTGAAACATTTACCCATTTCTATAAGTGAGTACTGTTTTCAATACTAATGTTAAAAAATACACATTTGCTATTAAGTCAATTATATTATATGACTGTTGCCTCCCGTTTAAGTTTTTTGTGATGATAATGATGTTTGTTTTTGATGATAATTATTAGGTAGAGGTCACTAGCCTAACTTTTAGCTAGCTAGCTAGCTGCTCTCCAGTGCAAGCTAGCTCGAGAAAAGAATATCTAAACAAAACATGTTTTATTATCACCTGAAACAATATCTTTACCCTGTCTTGAATGAAAAGGTCATATTTTGCAATCTCCCAAAATAAATGTGATCTCTGACGAGAGACAGGCTTTCCTCCATTTTGCTTTAGATACACTACACTTGTCCGTTCCGTATAGCGGGGAAAGACTCCGTAAAGATTACGTAAGGTGTAATGAAATACATCACAATATGTACGGGCATCAGAAGTACAGCAACTAATCAGTCTCCTCCGTTCCAAAAATACTGAATCTTAGGAGTCGATTCCTAGCGGAAGTCGGAAGTCGAGGGATCAATTATTTTGGCGACGAGTCTCCACCACTACGTCAAAGTCATTAACAGTTGTAAAAATTGCAGAGAAAGGCAAGTGACAGCAGCAAAGTCCTGTATGACATTAATTTGAGAAGTTAAATGAGAAGGAAATGCTAACTTTGCGAGGTGGAATTGAGGTACACTAATAGTAGTACAGGTGCAATACTTAGCCATCTGAAAGGGATGCACCGTGAGACCCAAACCGTTGCTGGCAGCAGCGTAGCTGCATTGTGAATTCACATGGAATCGTTTTAACGGAAAACCGATTTCTGCAGTTTAAATGTAAAGAATAGTTTTACACATTTATAACATGTTATAAATCAATTTCAGCTTCATAGAATAGCCAGAAGGATATATCAGACAGGTCAGACTGTCCTCCTCATAGGATCATTACTACTTATGTCAAATAAGTAATCATGAGCCACAATCACTAAAAATGAAACAGGTAGTAGAGCGATATGATGAAGACAATGATATGTGTTTGTGAGTGTAGTTTATAAATTGAGTTCCAGGAAGTCTTTACATAAGTAAGGCACACAACCTATTTCTTCAAGTCATCTCTCCTCTGAAATGTTTTGTCCTCTTTCAGACGTCTTGATATCAGGCCACTCACACCCACCTACCACACATAGAACCAGTTCACAGGTACTTGCGGTCTGCTCTAAGCAACATGAGGCCGTATCTACCCTGCTACCTGCACTCTGTGTCTCCTTGTGGTTTTCAGCAGGACGTCTATTTGATGTAAGTCTGTTGTTCTTACAATCTTTACCTGTTGTTCATGTTGCCACTGACAGTTTGCAGCCATAAACTTACTTGAATATATGTATAGTTATCTGAAATCAGTTCCAAACCACAAGGAACTGCTAATTAAATCTGTTTGAACCCTCTAATTTAACAATCTCAGTCCAGGGGGAGGGACAAGTTTGTGATGATGTCATGGGAGAATTTTCAGTACATTCGCAATCAGACATTTCTTGTGAAGCACAAAGACTACTGCAGGGTCCTCTGTAAGAAGACCAAAAGAGGAGGAACCTCCTTCTGATAGATTGCCTCCTATGAGAACAACATTCACCAGAGAGTGATTGGCTGAGGTTTCCAATCAGGCATGCTCTCTTAGGTGTTACACTTCAGTTAGTGCATGTTTCTGTGAATGATGAGGAATGAGACTGACATACAATAGACTTGTTTTATCCTGTCATCTGATGTACTGTAACTGTTAAATGACTTGGTCAAACTAGTATTTGTTAACTTTAGGGGCACTTGATGTATCTTAACAAGTGCAATGGAGACAAGATAGCCTAAATCAAGTGAACCTAAAAAAGTAACTGTGAGAACACAAGTGGTAAACAAACAGAAAATATAATTTCCACACAGGTACGGCGAGAGTGAATGTGAGAACTACAAACCACAATTTCTTGCAAGACCATTCAGGAGTTATGGTACAATACAAGACCAATGGTTGTCTGAATGAGGCGTCAACAAAAATGACGCCTTCAGTTCGACCAATCACCAATAACCCCATTGTTGAAGTGTTGTACACATGGGTAGTCTTTTTCCACTCAAGATGATACTTTCAAAGATGTTCACACTGTGTATGATATTTCTCCTCCTTAAACAAATGGGTAAGTCACATTTAATTTGATTTCTCTGCTTGTGTGATGTGTACCATAACAAAATACATTGGGTATTGATATTACAGTCCATTTCAAGCAATCCACATAGAATAATTGAATTTTTTATTATGTGATGGCTAATATATGTGAGTAGCTAAGAAATAAATGTTTTTTTGTGTGTGTTATAGATCATGTTCCAGCTGCAGCACAATCCTCAGCCATTCGTCTCACGTCAGCCAATGTTGGAGACACAGTGACTTTGCACTGTTTCTATGAAGGTGACATGGCAGTAATATTCTCCTGGTACAAGCAACCCTTTGGAAATATTCCTCGGCTCATGTCAACATATTTTTTTAAGTATGACAGTGACGCTGTATTTTACCATGAATTTATGGGTAACCCTCGCTTCTCAGTGGAAAGTGACAAAGGAAAAAATCACCTAAGGATCTCAGACATGGAACTCTCTGATTCAGCCACATACTACTGTGGGAGCACTTATGGAAACAAGATGGAGTTTGGAGAAGGAACCATTCTCATTGTAAAAGGTACAGAAATAATTCTTATTTTCAGATTGTTAAAAATCTTAGATTATACATGAAGAGTGTAGAAGAATAGCTAAAGGAAATTGAATTATTGTGACAATCAAATGTACATAAAAGGTTGATGTCTGCGCCCCTGCGGAAATCTAATTAGCATCATAAAAAATACCCATACAAATCCTTCAGTTTAAGCTAGAGATATCTGCAGTGTTTGTCAGACCATGAGACATCCCGAAAATGATGGAAAGATGAGACTCTCAGGAACATGATGGTGTTCTCCGTTTTGCTCTACAACCCCCACAAGCGTCTTGGGACTCGTCTGCAGTCGGTACAGCCGATCTACCAACTTCTGTCTGTAGCGTCTGAACAGTTTGGGCTACACACTAATATGACCCCTCTGTAGAAAGGTGAGACTATCACAAAAACGTACGTGTCGGTTGATTTGCTCTAGACTCATCTGAATGTCCCCTGATACCAGTTGAAAAAATATGGAGACTGTTTAGTGCCAAAAATATGGGGTTAAATACAGGTACAAAACAAATAAAAACATTCCTGATCTTTCTTATATCTCTCAGATATAGGACAGACACTTCAGAACAAACTTCCTTTAGACTATGTTTTGGGGGACTATCTGTTGTTCCATGCAGTGAATCTGTTATTCAATGTGTTTGTATGGCCTAATAGCAGTAATGCCAAATACAATTTTCCATCAAATAATTGTTTCATATATTTTCTTTTATACTTCAAGGGGTCTTAAAATTCAAAATCAAATAGCAAAATGATCCTTGGTATGACCTTCTTAAAACAATTCCATATAGCTTAATAGAACCCCCCCCCCCCCACCCCGACCCCCCACCCTCCCAGTTGAGCTTTTTAGATTATTTAGTTTAAAAAAATAATGGGTTAAATACATGTACAAAAAATAGACTCTTATGGGTTAAGTATTATCAAAATGAGATCCTATCATGGTTAAAACATTTTAGGTAGGGATGTTTTGGATATTCAAAATATTTACTGACATGATACTTATTTTCAGGTTCAGAGTCCAACAGCAAGACAGTTGTACAGCAGTCTGTGTCTAAATCAGTCCAGCTAGGAGACTCTGTGACTCTGAACTGTACAATACACACTGAGACCTGTGTAGGAGAACACAGTGTCTATTGGTTCAGACATGGCTCAGGAGAATCCCATCCAGGAATCATTTACACCCATGGAGACAGGGGTGATCAGTGTGAGAACAGCTCTGATGCTGGGTCTCCTACACAGAGCTGTGTCTACAACCTCCCCAAGAGGAACCTCAGCCTCTCTGATGCTGGGACTTACTACTGTGCTGTGGCCTCATGTGGGGAGATACTGTTTGGGAACGGGACCAAGCTTGACATTGACCGTAAGTAATACTTCTGACATTCTGTTTTGTTATAATCAATGTTCTTTACATTGCAGGCAAGGTATCATTTAGTTCTGTTTTCTATATCATTCGGATATCTTTGTTTTTCTCTTTCATTCAGATATCTTTGTTTTCTATATCATTCAGATACTTTTTTTCTATATCCTTCAGATATCTTTGTATCTGAGAGAAGAAAGTATGACTCTCAGATCAGGTAGAGTCTTGTTGGTGTCTTAAACATTGTCAAGGCTTTATCCCTCAGTGTCTCAGTGTCTCTGTCCCTATTTGATATTTCACAGATGGTTGTAAGGAGGACCATCTTCTGTTCACATACTTCCTGGTTGTAGCGTTGGGTCTGTGTGTCATCCTCATCATTGTCCTTACATGTGTTTTGTACAAGATGAGTAAGTGCACAGGTAAGCAATATTATTGTCCAAGATACAGTATGCTTATTAATTGTTGGTAGAATTACATTATTTTACATGTTTTGGTCAAAGTTGGTCATAAAGGCTCTTCATTGTATGATGATGATGATTATATTGATTCTTATGTTTGATTAAAAGGAACGCACCCTCAGCCAAGTGCTCCTGCTGTCCCCGGTCATGATAACCAGGTAACCTGACCTAACACTTGTTTAGCTGTTGCTGAATCAATGTATTTTTCCTTTGATAAAAATATTAAAATAGTTTTGTTTCACAATACCGCAATGTTTAGTCTAATACCAAATATTGGACTTAGATTTTTTCTATTGCTCTCAGGATCAAGATGTTGACACACTCCATTATGCCGCTCTGAACGTCGTCCACCAGAAACTGAAGGCCGGGAGACAGGGGAACGCCATGGAGAGAGATACTGTGTACTCTGGGGTGAGACGCCAAAACATGGACTGAAACGTCAACTTTTCCTCTTTAATAACTTGCATTGATTTTGTGTGTTCTACACTGTATGTATGTATGACTGTGGCTTTTTCATTGCTAATTTTTACATTGATACTGTTGTGCATTTTAGATCAAATAAAACATTCAACTACTTTCATATAGAGGAATTGTTTGATTTGCATTTATGTTTTTGTCCTTACATTTCTACAACACTTCCTCCCACATATTCAGTGTGCAACAACCATATCAAGGCTATGCTCAATGTAAAAAAATATGGTTGGTTGCATAATAACTGTAAATATGAATCTATTGTGGGTGTTTTAGCCTCTCACACTGTTTTCTTTTAGTTGTATCCTGTATCACAGCTCTCTGTGGTGTTCTGATGTCACGGTTTCGGCCGAGGCTGCCTCTCTTCCTTGCTCGGGCAGGCTTCGGCGTTCGTCGTCTCCGGAATACTAGCTGCCACCGTTGTATGTTTCTGTGTTCGTTTGCTTTTGTCTGATTGTTGTACACCTGTTTCTCGTTTAGTGTATTAGTGTCCTATAAGTTCTCGTTGTGTTTTGCCTAGTGTTGTGTGTTATTCTTTCCACTGTCTTGGTTGTTGCCAGACGTATTGTGCTTTTGCTCGGTTGAGCTGTTCCTCCATAGTTTGGAGTGTTTTCGTCGCACCTGTTTGTGCGCGCGTATTTTGTTTCGCCTGCGTGCGGAGTTTCGCCTTTAGTGTTTGTACTGTGAGTATTTTTCACTAAAGTCTTTGGAATATACTTATGCGTCCTGCGCCTGATTCCACCACCACACCCACCTACTACATCCTTGACAGAATAACACACCATCAAGTATGGAATCAGCAGGAGCCGCAGCAGCCCAGGCGACGCTGGAGGAAAAGGTCCGGGAACAGAGTGACCAGATCCTGCAGATGGGGTCCGCCCTGCAGGAGGTGATCACCACCAACCGAGGCTGGGGAACACCTCCACCGCCATCCTCTCTGCCAGCACCATCGGCCAGTCAGCCCGTTCCCGCTCCGGAACCCAGGGGAGTTCGACTCTCGCTCCCGAGAGCCTACGACGGGACCGCGGCCGGGTGTCAGGGATTCCTTCTCCAGGTGGAGCTGTACCTGGCCACCGTGCACCCGGCGCCCTCGGGACATGAGAGCGTGTCCGCCCTGATCTCCTGCCTTTCCGGGAAGGCGTTGGAATGGGCCAACGCGGAGTGGAGGAGGATCGACGCGGACACCATCACCTACGACGAGTTCTCCCGCCGCTTCAGGGTGGTGTTTGACCATCCTCCGGAGGGGAAAGCGGCGGGGGAGCATCTGGTCTTCCTCCGGCAGGGGAGGAGGAGTGCCCAGGAGTTCGCTCTTGAATTCCGTACTCTAGCGGCGGATGCAGGGTGGAATGAGCGGGCTCTCATCGATCACTACCGATGTAGTCTTCGCGAGGACGTCCGTCGGGAGCTGGCCTGTAGGGACACCAGCCTCTCGTTCGACCAGTTGGTCGACATGTCCATCAGGCTGGATAACCTACTAGCTACCCGCGGACGTTCCGAGGGGGGTCCGTCCATTTCACCCTCCAGCGCCTCCGAGCCGTGCCCCATGGAGCTCGGGGGCGCTGGCGCTAGAGAGAGGAGGGGTCGGCTTACAAGTGGGTCCATCTCCTGCACCAACTGTGGTCGGGGAGGACACACCGCGACTAGGTGCTGGGGATGGCCTCCTAGGGGAGACAACGACAGGTCCCGCACTGGGGATTCCTTCCAGGTGAGTAGGCGCCCCACTCACCCAGAGCTCTCTGTTGCACATTTTCCACAGGTAGCACCTCATTCCCAGCATAAGGCGCTGGTAGATTCAGGTGCAGCTGGGAACTTTGTTGATAAGAAGTTTTGTTTAGCCTTAGGGATTCCCCTTCTCCCTGTTGATGTCCCTTTCCCTGTTCATGCCCTAGATAGCCGTCCGTTGGGTGCGGGCTTGATCAGGGAGGTCACTGCGCCACTTAGGATGTGTGCGCAGGGGGGTCATCAGGAGATGATTCAGTTATTTCTAATCGACTCGCCTGCGTATCCGGTGGTGCTGGGCATGCCCTGGTTAAGTACCCACAACCCATCTATTTCGTGGCGGGAGAGAGCTCTGATGGAGTGGTCTGCCCAGTGTGTGGGTAGATGTTTGGGCGTTTCCGTAGGGGCTACCTCGGTGGAGAGTCCAAACCAGGTGCCCGCATTGCACGTTCCTCCTGAGTATGGGGATTTGGCTATTGCATTTAGTAAGTCGAGGGCGACGCGGTTGCCGCCCCATAGGCAAGGAGATTGTGCGATAGACCTCCAGGCAGGAGCTGCGCTCCCACGGAGCCATGTGTATCCTCTGTCTCAGGAGGAGAAGAAAGCTATGGAGACTTACATAGACGAATCTCTGAGACAAGGATACATACGGCCTTCCACTTCCCCTGCGTCCTCGAGTTTCTTTTTTGTGAAGAAAAAGGATGGTGGTTTACGCCCGTGCATCGATTATCGTGGTCTCAATCAGATTACGGTGAAGTACAGTTATCCACTCCCGCTGATTGCGACCATGACTGAGTCATTGCATGGGGCGCGTTTCTTCACTAAATTAGATCTCAGGAGCGCGTACAACTTGGTACGCATCAGGGAGGGCGATGAATGGAAGACAGCCTTTAGTACCACCTCGGGCCATTACGAGTATCTGGTCATGCCATACGGGTTGATGAACGCTCCGTCAGTTTTCCAATCATTCGTGGATGAGATCTTCAGGGACATGCAGGGGCAGGGGGTGGTTGTGTACATAGATGACATTCTCGTGTACTCGCCTACCCGTGTCGAGCATGTGGCCCTGGTGCGCAGAGTGTTGCGGAGGCTGGTGGAGCACGACCTGTATGTTAAGGCAGAGAAGTGTCTGTTTTTCCAGGAGTCGGTCTCCTTTTTGGGGTATCAGTTGTCTGCGTCAGGGGTGAAGATGGAGGTAGACCGGGTGTCGGCCGTGCGTAATTGGCAAACTCCAACCACTGTGAAGGAGGTGCAGCAGTTTTTGGGGTTTGCGAATTACTACCGGAGGTTTATCCGGGGTTTTGGACAGGTGGCAGCTCCCATCACGTCTCTTTTGAAGGGGGGTCCGGTGCGTCTGCAGTGGTCGGCCGAGGCGGACAGGGCGTTTGGGAGGCTGAAGGACCTGTTTACCTCGGCCCCGGTGCTGGCACATCCGGATCCCTCTTTGCCGTTCCAGGTAGAGGTGGACGCGTCAGAGGCCGGTCTAGGAGCCGTGCTTTCACAACGGTCTGGCGCGCCACCTAAACTCCGCCCCTGTGCTTTTTATTCTAAGAAGCTCAGTCCGGCGGAGCGGAACTATGACGTAGGGGACAGGGAGCTGTTAGCCGTGGTACAGGCCCTAAAGGTGTGGAGGCACTGGCTTGAGGGGGCTCAACACCCTTTCCTCATTTTGACGGACCACCGTAACCTGGAGTACATCCGGGCAGCGAGGAGGCTGAACCCTCGCCAGGCAAGATGGAATATGTTCTTGGCTAGGTTTACATTTAAGATCACGTACATCCCTGGGTCACAGAACGGTAAGGCAGATGCGCTGTCTCGGCGGTATGACACGGAGGAGAGGTCCGTGGAGCCCACTCCCATACTGCCGGAGTCGTGTCTGGTGGCACCGGTAGTGTGGGAGGTCGATGCTGAACTCGAGCGGGCGTTACGCACCGACCCTAGTCCACCGCAATGCCCTGAGGGTCGGAAGTACGTTCCGCTCGAGGTTCGGGATCGATTGATCTATTGGGCTCACACGTCACCCTCCTCTGGACATCCTGGTATCGGCCGGACAGTGCACTGTCTTAGTGCCAAGTACTGGTGGCCCACGTTGGCGAAGGATGTGAGGGTTTATGTTTCCTCCTGCTCGGTGTGCGCCCAGTGTAAGGTGCCTAGACATCTGCCTAGGGGTAAGTTACTACCCCTGCCCGTTCCACAACGACCATGGTCTCACCTCTCGGTGGATTTCCTTACTGACCTTCCTCCTTCACAGAGGAACACCACTATACTGGTCATTGTGGACCGGTTTTCTAAGGCCTGTCGTTTGCTCCCCATGCCGGGCCTTCCTACTGTCCTGCAAACCGCCGAAGCACTATTCACACATGTGCTCCGGCACTACGGGGTACCCGAGGATATTGTGTCTGATCGGGGTCCCCAATTTACCTCCAGGGTCTGGAGAGCCTTTATGGAGCGGTTGGGGGTCTCGGTGAGCCTCACCTCGGGTTACCACCCGGAGAGTAATGGGCAGGTGGAACGCGTGAACCAGGATGTGGGTAGGTTTCTTAGAACATACTGCCAGGACCGGCCGGAGGAGTGGGCAAGGTACGTTCCCTGGGCCGAGATGGCCCAGAATTCCCTACGCCATTCCTCCACTAACCTAACCCCTTTTCAATGTGTGCTAGGTTACCAGCCGGTTCTGGCACCTTGGCAGCAGAGCCAGATCGAGGCTCCAGCGGTGGATGAGTGGGCGCGGCGCTCGGAGGAGACATGGAACGCTGCACACGTCCACCTGCAGCGGGCCCTCCGACGTCAGAAGGCGAGCGCCGATCTCCACCGCAGTGAGGGACCGGTGTACGCACCTGGTGATCGAGTCTGGCTCTCTACCAGAAACCTGCCCCTCCGCCTGCCCTGTCGGAAACTGGGTCGGCGGTTTGTAGGGCCATTTAAAGTCCTGAGAAGGTTGAACGAGGTGTGTTACAAATTACAACTACCCGTTGAATATAAAAGTATTAACCCCTCGTTCCATGTGTCTCTTCTCAGGCCGGTGGTAGCTGGCCCACTCCAGGAAAGTGAGATCAGGGAGACTCCTCCGCCCCCATTGGACATCGAGGGGGCACCGGCGTACTCCGTGAAGTCCATCTTGGATTCGAGACGTCGGATGGGGGGTCTCCAGTATCTAGTGGAGTGGGAGGGGTACGGTCCGGAGGAACGGTGCTGGGTGCCGAGGAGAGACGTTTTGGACCCGTCTCTCCTGACGGAATTCCATC